GGGAAGACAATTTTGTATCCAAATTGTCTGTTCCAGTAGGAACAAAACACTGCCCTTTCCATGATGGAAGTGGTCCACTGTAATCAACCTGCCACCAGGTTGCTGGCTGATGACCTGAGGAATGGTTCCATATTGCAGACTCACTGTTACTGTTTGCTACCAGCACATTGGCACTTACCAGTGTCTGTAGCCAAGTTGGCTTTGGTGAGTAGAAGTCCATGTTGCTGCTGAGCCCATACATGGATAGCCTCCATCCCTGCTACCATGGCCACGTTGTTCATAAGCCCATTGGCCAATGACAGTAGTGGCTAGGGAAAGAGGATGATTGATTTCCACATAAACTGTCATCCTATCCACTTGATTATTAAACTCCTCTTTATAGGTCACCTTTCAGTGAGCATTCACATGAGACACAAGCATCTTTACTTTTTTGGCTTATTCAGGATCTCTGGTGGCACAGTGGTTAAGACATTCAGCTGCTAACCAAAAGGTTGGCGGTTCAAACATACCAGCTGGTCCACAGGAAAAAGATGAGGCAGTCTGCTTCTGTAAATATTTGTAGCCCTGGAAATCCTATGGGGCACTTCTACTCTGTCCTGTAGGGTCTTTATGAGTTGGAATTGACTTGATAGCATCAGTTTTGGTTTGGGGTTGGTTTGGCACATCAGAGAGGTCTATGCACATACCTCTTCCCCATACCTCCTTATTACTGATTTTCCAATTATGTTCCTTCTAAGTCCCTGACCATCCAGCCAAACCATTAGCTACAGCTCATGAATCAATATACACTTGTACATCTGGCCATTTCCCTTTCCAAGCAAAGTGAACAGCCAGATGTACTGCTTAAAGTGCTGCCCATTGGGAGGAGTCTTCAGGGAGGTCCCAGAAAGCAGCTGCATGCAGTGCTATTGCTGTCCACTTTCGAGTGGTGTCCATATATCACTCAGAGCCATCTGTAAAGCAAGCATGAATTTTCTTTTCCTTTGTCAAAGGAACTCCCCATAGGCCCTCTGTGCAGACTGGGAGAGGGAAGGTAATGTGACTGGCATTTGGGCCATTTCCTCATGAAACTTAGTTGTGCCTTCAGGTACTGCTTGAGCCCCATCTTGTATATACCACTTCTGTTTAATAATGGAATGCTGCTGTGCACGTCCAACTTCATGACTCCATAAGTCAGACAACACTCAGTTCCTGATGGGCAGCTCATGGGTAGGCTTTCAGTCTTCACTCAGGCCCAGGAACAAGCCAAAAGCTGTTACTGAAAAGGAGAGGATAGCAGTACTTTGCTCCAGAATCCTAAGAGTCTATGCTGTGATTCACCAATAGGGGCCTGGCAAAGACTCCAAATAGCACCTCTTATCTGACACTGACATTTCAAGCACCACTGAGTCAGCCTGATCAAATGGCCCAAGTGGCAGAATGCTTGCAAGGCAGCCCAGACTTGTTCAGGAGCCTTCTGTTTTTCTGGGTCCCACTCAAAACTAGCAGCTTTTTGAGTCACGTGATAAATAGACCAAGTAGCACAGCCAAATGAAGGATATATTGTCTCTAAAGACAATGAGGCCCACCAGATATTATGCCTCCTTTTTAGTTTTGGGAACAGCCAGGTGCAGTAACTTGTCCTTCATTTTAGAAGCAATATATTGACATTTCACTGAGGTAGAAGGCACCTGAAGTTTTGTCAAATTTATTTCCCACCTTGCAGCCTGCAAATGTCTTATTAATAAGTCTAAAGTCATTGAAATATCTTCCTTACTAGATCTAGTCAGCATGTTATCAGTGTAATGGACCAGTGTGATGTCTTGTGGATGGGAAAGGCAGTTAAGGTCTCTGCAGACTGAATTATGCCATAGGGTTGGAGAGTTGTTATACGTTGAGGTAGGGCAGTAGGAGTGTATTGCTAGCCTTGCCACCTGAGGGCAGACTGCTTCATGGGATCCTCCAAACATGAAATTGAGAAAAAGACATTGGCCAGCTCATTAGCTGTGTACTGGGTACCAGGAGATATATTATTTTGTCCAAGCAGTAAAACCACATCTGAAACAGCAGCTCCAATTGGAGTCACCACCTGGCTAGATTTACTATAATCTGTCATTCTTCATTGTCCATCTGTCTTTTACACAGACCAAATAGGTGTGCTAAATGAGGATGTGGTAGTAATTTCCCCTCTTGCATCCTTCACATCCTTGATGGTGACACTAATCTCTGTAAACCCTCCAGGAATGTAATACTGCTTTTGATTTACAATTTTCCTAGGTATTGGCAGTTCTAATGGCTTCTCCTTGGCTTTTCCTACCACAATAGATAGCCCTTACTCCACCTGTCAGGGATCCAGTGTGTGGACTATGCCAGTTACTGAGTATGTCTATTCGAATTATGCATTCTGGAGTTGGTGAAATCACTACAGGATGGTTTCAGGGACCTACTTTGAGGCAGACCTGAGCTAAGACTTTTGACCTTCACATGCCCCTACTTTGAATTCATGTCAGTTAAGAGCCACTGTCTAGTAATCTTGAAAAGTCTTGATTATTTCCTTTTCCCCAGTGAACTGTCACTCTCGTAAAAGGCTAGATCCCTTTGGGGAAGGCTGGGAGAAAGATTACCAGTAGAGAGTTTCAGCAGTGTAGTGGGGTCCTTCCTCAAGGGAAACAGGACCTCCCCTTTATTCAAGGGGCTGTGGGTGTATAAACTGGCTCAAATCTGGGAATTATATTGAGAGGCCATGACACTCTTCTTCTGGCAATTCATGTTAGACTCCTGTTCATTTAACCTAGAATTCTTCCACTTTTACAGATCAAATAAATATTTAGTAGATTTTTATCTATTTAACTCCTAGGAATGATGTGCCTAAGTAGCCATAAGTCCATAGGAGTCAGACTGTTATGATTACTGCTTTGACTCTGCTGTCTATTACAGTAACCTTGCCCATCTTGTCTTTGGTGAATAAGTACTACGACTTGGCTTGTACCAATACAGGGTCCATTCACCCCCATTGAAGTTAGGTGTCTTGATTCAGTTAGGGCAATTCCCACTGTGAGATCTGACTGTCATAAAATGGCAGTCATAGCAGGCTTCAGGGATGTTTTCATAAATTTGTTCCTCACTTTCGTGGTAAAAGGTGTATTCTCTGAGCACTCCATATATGAATCTGTGGAAGTAATCTGATAAATTCACTCTAATTTGCCTATTTCCCTAAGCCTTTGGATACCTCCTCCTATAATATACCAGGGCAGTGTATGAGACTCCCAATCTCTCCACATCTTTGTTAGCATTTGTTATTTTCTGTCTTGTTGGACTTTGCTATTAGTGTTGGGGCCAAATGGTATCTCATTATTGTTTTGATATGCATTTGGTACATGAGGGGAAAAAACTATCTCAAAATGTTATACTGGTTCCCTCTGCAGTAAGACTTTGACCTTTTCTGCTTTCTGATTTACTTTTCAAAAAATCTCTGCATTGCTTTATGTACCAAATGTGAGTGACCAATATGGCAGCATTGAGGATGAGAAAGACATAGAGAGTTACATGGGCAGTACAGACAACAAATATGAACCCTTTTGCATATACAGTACTGAGTTGTCAGTGAAAGCAAACATGGGTATATGGACGGATAGATAGGTGAACAAGCTAAACAATTAGGTATGTCTAAATGGGGAGTGTATCCAAGATCATATATAGGGTTGGCAGACAATGGGCCTATAAGTTGATGTGAATGATCAGAATTCCCAGGTGTATAGTAGAGCTGACAAGGGGCAAGGTTATGGTCATTGCTTGGTCACAGCCAGCTACCCAGAGGGACTGAGTAGTTGATCCTGTGGGCTTGGGACCATAGTCGCAGGGGACATCAAGCTCAATTGGCATAACATACTATACAAAACATTGTTCCACCTACTACTTTGGCGAGTAGTGACTGGGATCTTAAAAGCTAGCAAGCTGCCATCTAGATGCAACAACGGGTCTCTCCTCGTCAAGAAGAAAGAAGAAAACCGAAATTAATGGAAACAATCAGTCCTAGCGACTGGTACACCATCGATCTGCAACCTATACAACTATGAGACCAGAAGAACTAGATGGTGCCCAGCTACCACTGCCATCCACTTGGAAGGGATGTAGGATATCTTGCATAGAGAGGGAGAACAATGTGGAACAAAACTCAAAATCATTTGGAGGCAAAAAAAAAAGAAGGTGGGGACCAGGTTTGCTGGTCCAGTAGAGCCTGGTGTAACCATTGAGACTATGGCCCCTAGCTGCCCTTCAGGTCTGGAATTGAACCCACAACTGTGGTTTCCAGCCAAACAAAGTACAGGCATGTGAGTTAAACATTTACCTCAAGTAGACACAAACCCTGGAGAGAACAATCATGGGAGAAGGAAGGGCTGCTTATGCACAGGGAGATAGCTCAGGGTGCAGAAGAGTATGAAGGGACGGACACTGGGAGGAGGTAACTATGGGGAGGAAGTGGGAGGGGAGCTGTTGCATTGTAAATTTTGGTCAATGACATGAGACAAAGTATATGTGAACTGCTGTATGAAAAGTGAATTTACTCTGTAAATCTTTACCCAAATCCAAATAAAATTAAAAAAAAAAATCTCTGCATTGCTTTATGAAGGAACTCTGGTAGCATAGTGCCCAAGGCGGTTCAAACCCACCAGTCGCTTCTCAGAAGGAAGGGTGGGCAATCTACTTCCATAGTGATAGCGCCTTGGAAACCCAAGGAGGGGTCGTTGTGAGTCAGATCTGACTCAGTGGCACATAACAACAACAACAAACAACATTGCTTTATGATTGTAATATAAGGACACTTTAAAAATATTGTTACATCGATATTTCATTGTGCAGTCTGTAGCATCATTCTCCTTATACTTCCAGCTCTTTGTTTATTGAAGGGGTAACTGTCCTAATAACCTCCTCCTGTGAGAAAATGAGAATGGCTCAGAGGGCAAGGAACTTTAAGGAAGCATCTGATCTTCAGCTTGACCTTATCTTCCAATTTATTTTAGGATTGTTGAAGATTCATTCCAGTCAATCCAATCCCCAGCAGGCTGTTCTGACAATTCCCAGCCAGCTCAAACCACTTAGTGTTAATACATCTGGTGGTGTGCAGACTATACTGATGCCTGTGAATAAAGGTAAGTCCTTCACTGATGGGGCTTTCCTCCTCTGGTTCTCCAGACCTATGTTGGGGAAACCAGAAGTCTATAATCTGTTGGTTAAGGTGACTGTTCCTTCTTTCTACAGCCTACCCTTTAGCTGTCATGGTACTATCTGGCACTTTGAACTCTAGAGCTTTGAGACTGAAAACCCAATAATCCATTGACTTCTAAGTAGCTGTCCATTTCTAAGGTTGAGTCATGGATGAAATATTTTAAGTACTTACGAGAGTTTAGATTAATTGGATTTTTATTTTCTTAATTTAGTGACAAGCCACCATTTCAACCATTGAGAAGCTAGCCCAGTTACCCTGGTAAAAGGAGAAATGGAACACCCAGCTTGTCATATCACTATATTAAAAAAGGACTGTACCATTCCTTTTGCCCCAGAATTATTTTTGTGCTCTTAGTCTAACATATGGACCATCAGCTGGAAGTTAGATCATTCTCATCACAATAATTTTTGTATTTATTGTATTCCCCTCTTCTTGCCCTTTAGTGGTTCAGTCATTTTCTGCCACCAAATCACCTTCCATTCTGCCTGTAGCTGCCCCAGCTCCAGTTGTCCCCAGCTCCACTCCAGCAACTGTTGCAAAAGGTATGTAGGATCTCACGATAAGTTTGCCCAGAAGTTTTATGCAACACATTATACAACCTTGAGTCCCTTGAATTTTAAGCATTTGTGAATCAACACTTGGCAAATACATACTGAGTGCTTACATAGTATACTTGACACTGAGGGGAATAAAGAGATGTATAAAGCATCATTTCTGCCCTCCAAGAACTTACAGTCAAGTTTAAGAGAGTTGCAATAGAATAATGACCAGAATTACTGGTCGGATGGAGTCTGGTAAAACCCCCAATACTATGGTCCTGGGATACATTTAGGGCCTGGAATAAAGCTCACTCCCAGGGGCTGGCTCTCAGCCCAATAGTAAACAAGATGTACATGCAGTCCACTCAACCCAAGGTGATTCACCCACATACTCTATGGAATGGCAACCCTTGGAGCAGTCAATCACAGGGCACCAGAGGGGCAATATTCACACAGAGGAAATGCAGAACAAACGAGTGCATAACTATGAGGGGCACGGGTGGGGGAAGGGTTACTGGGCAGGGAAGGGAGGAGACTGGGTTAGGGTTGGGCATGGTAAATGAGGAGTGAAACTAAATGTACATGTAATGTTGGTTGTAGAACAAAAATTCTTAAAAAAAATTAAAAAAAAAAAAAGATGCAGTAGACATCAAGAATGATTAGTGAGTGCAAGATAAGTGGTCTGGAAATTGATTGGGGAAATGTTTCAGTCCAAGATGTCTAATATGATTTATTTGGGGTGGAAAGAGATTGCAAGTTTGTATAGGATGTAGATTATAATCTGGACTTTAAAAAGAGTGGAACGTTTGTAGTAGTGGAGAGTCATAGGACATGCCAGATTATGGGAATGATAGAGACAGACCTAGAGGGCTGTTTGGGGGGAATATGCTAATTAGGACTCATTTTGGGGGTGAAGTTTCAATAGGGGCCAGACTTTGGCAAGTTGGTAAAATTTGTGTGTATCCAGTGACACAACTTTAAAATAATAAAGCTAAAATTGACTAAAAGGGGGAATAGGGAAATTCACAATTATGAAAATTTCAACACATTGATGTCTGTAACTGATAGATCAAGCAGACAAAAAGAAAATTGGGAAGGATAGAGAATTTTAACAATACGGTTAACCAGCCAGGTGTAATTTATGTTCATAGGACCCCAAGACTTCGAAATTCAAAATACACCTTTTATCAAGGGCACAGGAAAGAAACATTTTCCTGAAAAAGACCTTTTGTTGGCCCAGAAGCAAGTGTTAGTAAATTTCCGAGGCTTTGAAAACTTCTCTCTTATGTTCTCTGACCATAGTGGGATTAAACTATAAACCAGTAACAGCATATTTAAACTTGAGGAGATAATAATAAATTATAGGGTAACCTCAAAGAAAATTAATAACCTTCTCACCAAAATAAAGAAAAGTAATCTTAAAAGACTGTCAATACCACACACACAACACAACAAAATGACAGCAGTAAATTCCTATCTATCAATAATTACACTGAATGTAAGTAGATTAAAAGCCTTCGGTAAGACACAGAGAATAACAGAATAGGTGATAAAACAATGCTGTCCACAGGAGACACATCTTAGGCACAAACAGAAAAGCTAAAAATCAAAGGATTGAGAAAACAAAGATCAAGTAAATGGCAACCAAAAAAAAAAAAAGGCAGAAGTGGCATTATTAATTTCTGATAAAATAGACTTTAGGGCAAAAACCAACAAAAGAGACAAGGAAGGTGTTCTGGTTACCTGGTGCTGCTCTGACAAGAGTATATACCACAAATGGGATGGCTTGAACAAACAGGAGTTTATTCTGTAGTCTTACAGTTTAGGAAGCTAGAAGTCTGAGTTCAAAGTGTCAGGCTCTAGGGGTTGGGTGAAAGCCCCTCGACCTTGTGCTTCAGCTCCTCTTGTTCCTCACCCACTGAAACTAGAGGCTTTTCTTCACTCAGGCAGCTGCTGGCTGCTGAGGCTGACTAACCCAAGGTTGACCAGTAGAAAGGCACAGTCTTGACATTACTAAACTACGCAGCAGGTCATTGATTCAAGTCCATTGAGAGTCCCAAGGTCGGCTGACAGCATAGCAGGCTGCTAAACAATGACTCATCCACATGCAGGATTCCCGCATGTGAAAAGCTGGAGACCTTTCCAAAGTGTATTCTTATATACTGGAAGCAGACCACATCCCTAAAGCAGCTGCTGAGCTGCTCCAGTAGATTCCACCATGGAGTTAATTACCATTCTCACCATGGAGAGTAACTACATCCAGCTGCCCATCCACTCAAAACAAGGCCCAGCCAAGTTGACACATAACTTTCACTACCACATGCATCAAAGATTTCACTCAAAGAGTAAAAAGAGAACCTGCACACACACACACAAATAAGTAATGGGAATGACACATCACACCAAGGTACTAATATCTAAGATTCATTGAAAACTTCTATACCTTATCAACAAAAAGAGAGAATCCGATTAAAATGAGCCTAGGACATGAAGAGACACTTCACCAAAGATGACATTCAGGTGACCAACAAACACTAAGAATTGCTCACTATCATTAGCCATTAGAGAGGTACAAATCAAAATGAGATACCATCTCACCCCAGCATACTTCCAAAGTTCAAAAAATCAAATGCTGTTGATGGTGTAGAGAAGCAAGAACCTTTATACACTGCTGGTGAGAATGGAAAATGGTGTGACCACTATTGAAAAAGGTAAAGTACTTCTTTATAAAATTGGAAGAAGAAATGCCATATGGTCCAGCATTCCCACTGCTAGGGATATATCCTAGAGAAATAAAAGCCTTGACACAAACAGATATATGCACACCCATTTTTATCACAGTATTATTCATAGTACAAAAAGATAGAAACAACCTAAGTGTCTGTTAGTGGATGAATAAGTAAACAAACTGTAGTACATTCACACAGTGGAATAGTACGCAGTGTTAAAGAATAACAGGTAATCTCTGAAATACCTTGTAACGTATAAATCTGCAGGACATTGTGCTGAGTGAAATTAGTTATAAAAGGATAAATACATGAGACCACTACTGTAAAAAGTCAAGAAAAGGTTTACACACAGGAAGAAACAGTCTTTGAATGTTTTCTAGGGATGGGAGGGAAAATGAGGGTAAATCAGTAACTAAAGGGTGGGCAAGTATTAATTTGGGTGAAGGGAAAGTCAATATACATAAGAGGGGTTCAGCACAAAATGTTCAAGGTAAAGGAAGACACTGGGAGGAGTGTAAGAGTTAAAGGCAACAAAGTTAAATACTAATACATACACAATCCTGAAATAACAGTAGTAACTATACTCTATGAGTGGACACAGACACACCAGCTTAACAAGTATGAGTAGGCAAATGAGACTATATCCATGAATATATATAGGTTTGACAGAGGATATTTCTACATATGTATATGTACAGTAAACAATATCCATGAATATAGTAGAGTATATATACATGGGGTATGTTTTGAAACCTTTTTAGCCTTAACCAGACATCTTGAGGAAGGGAATGAGTCGCTGGCCCTGGGGACTCAGGAACACAGGCTCAGGGGACATTGAGGAAAATTGGCATAACATAGTCCACAAAGATAGTATTATACATCCTACTTTGGTAAGTAGCAACTGGGGTCTCAAAAGCTTGTTACTGGCCATCTGAGGTACAACTATTGGTCTCTCCCCTCTGAAGTAAAGAAGAATGAAGGAAAATAAAAATATAAGGAAACAATTAGTCCAAAGGACCCCAGCCTCCATGACGATGATACCAGAAAAGCTAGGTGGTACCTGGCCACCACTGATGTCCACTCTGCAAGGGGTAACAGTAAGAGGTCCTTGATAGAGTGGAAGAAAAATGTGGAACAAAACTACAAATCATAAGAAATACCAATTTTACTGGTCTTATAGAGACTGGTGGAGCCCCTAAGCTATGTCCCTTAGATATCCTTGAAGTCTGGAAGTGAACCCCCCTGACTCTCCTTTCAGCCAATTGATAGACCTGTAAGGTGAACAGTAGCACCAGGGACATACTTAGAACAATCAACCATAGGAGATCTAAAGGGCAGCATTTACCCAGGGATAAAGGTTAGAAGGCTGGAAGGGATTGGAAATAAGGACAAACAGAAAAGGTAAAGACATGAGGAAATGGGAGGAGTGCTGTTACATTGTGGGGATTGCGGTCAATTGTCACCAAACAAAATGCATATGAATCGCTGAATGGAAAATCAGTTTGTTCTGTGAATTTGCTCCCAAATTGCAGTAAAAAGTTATTTGAAGACAAAAAATTTAACTACAAAATCTCCCAAATAGTTGGAAATAAAGTGATATTTATGAATAAACCATGGGTCAATGAACAAATCACAAGGGAAATTGGAAAATAATTAAATGGTAGTTGAAAATACAACCAAAACTTGTAAGATGCATCTAAATCAGCACTCAGAAAATAGAGAAAACTCCCAATCTTAAAAAAGACTAATAAAAACAATAATTCTCTAGAAAAACTAATAAGGGAGAAGAGATTAGATTAGAGCCGTGGGACAAATTACGATCAGGGATGAAAAGAGATCTGTTACTGTAGATTTCACTGGCATTAAAAGGATAACGAAGATACTGCAAATAACTATATTCTGCTAAACTTGAAAATTTCGATGAGATGAGTAAATTCTTTGAAAAGCTCACTTAAACCAACATCACAAAAAATTGAAATGTTTGAAACAGAAGGATAAGAAACAAATGCTAACTTTTTATGAAGCCAACATAATCCTGATACCAAAACATAATGAGAACATTATTAGTAAGAAAAGGCGTAAGCCAGTATCTTTCATATATACAGATACTGAAAAATAAAATTCATTGGTTCCAAAAAAGATAATACAAAGTGGAGTTTATATACAGATTGGAAAACAAAAAGAAATACTAAGTGGAGTTTAATTCAGATTAGAAGATATTTATGCTACAAATAAATATCTGACAAAGGATCATATCCAGAATATTCATAGATCTTAAAATTGATACTAAAATGACTGACAACTCATTTTTTATTTTTAATGGGCAAAAGATGTGAACTGGCACTTTGCATTAGAGGAAATCTACATAGCTCATGATCTCATGAAAACTTGTTCAACCTCAAAAGTCATCAAGGAAATACAGATAAGATAAATAGTGAGATATGGTACCTACCAGAAATGATACTATATCTACCAAAATGAAAAGAATTGACAATAGCAAGTGTTGACAAAGATGTGAAGCAACTGGAATTTGCTTATACTGCTGGTGGAACTTTAAATTGTTATAATCACTTTGTAAATCAGTTTGTCAGTTTCTGATTAAGTGAAACTTGCATCTGCCCTATGTTCCAGAAAATCTACTTACAGGAAATGAGTATGTGTCCATTCAGAACTGCACACGACAGTGTTCATGGTTGTGTTTGTAGATAGCTAAAAAGATACCGACCAGTCATACGAAATTCAAAATGGGAAAAAGGCAAAAGGATGGTTATCTTTGGCAGGGAGGAATTGAGAGGAAGCAAAAGGGAGCTTGCTTGAGTGCTGAAATTAATTTAAGTAGTGATAGTTACATGGTTTATACATAAGTAAAATTTATTCAGCTACAAATTTTTCATTTTACTATGTGCATGTCATGCATCAATAAAAAAGATAAGGGAGGAAAGATGAACTATATTTCATTTGGATACCCTGTTAACACAAGAAGGGATTGAAGGCTATTGAGCAAGGAAATAACCCTCTAGAGGTCCTCTTGGAACATTGTTCTGTTGCTGATACACAAGGTGGACTGCTTAGGAAAGAGTGGAGGCAGGGGAGCTCCTGCAGAAGCATTAAGTGTGTGGTCAGGGTTTTTGATTGAAAGACTGTAGAAGTTAACGCACAGCATAGATTAAATAATATTAAAAGCTTAACTAATGATTTGCTTGGAAATTTCCAGGCGCAACAGATCTGATTTTCACTTTCTGCCTTGTGTCCCAGAGTGCTTAAGATAATGCTGAAAGTTGATAAACTTGCTGGGGAGAGGATAGCCAAAAGATCATATTAGAACTTACAACAGTCTGTATTTGTATTTTCATGTGGCAGTGTTCAGTCATTTTTGTTTGTGTGTGGCTCTGTGCAGGATCTCATATAACAGTGTGAATAGCTGAAAAGCTATTTTGTTGTCCCAGCCTTGTCAGGCCTGGAGTTGCTCCCCCTGAGACCCAAGCTAACAGCTTTTCCCTTGTCTGCTAACCCTGTGATGGTAGGAGCCATCTCAGACTCCTCGCTAGAGGAGCTAAAGTGGCAGTTTCCTCGCTGAGTTTCAGTGGCAAAGCTTTGTTTCTGCCCGCACATGTTGCTCCATCACTGAATGCTGACAACTCTCTGTTGTTCTTTCCTTGTAGTGAAGACTGAACCAGAAGCGCCCGGGCCAAGCTGCCTCTCTCAGGAGGGTCAGACAGCAGTGAAAACTGAAGAAAGTTCTGAATTGGGAAACTATGTCATTAAGTAATTATTTCAGTCTTTTTTAAAGGAGTTCTGCTTTGAGTGTTTTCATGATTTTTAAACACCATACCTGTGACCCAGAGATACAGGTGAGGAGAGACAACTCAAGGACGCCCAAAGCAGCAGGCCAGAAGAGCAGGAGAAAGGGGATTAAAAGCCAGGAAGCCAGACAGAAGAGCAATCAGCCAAAGGGATTAGG